GGCTCTATTTAAAATGCATTATCACAAGCTCCAAATATAGAACAAGAATGAATTGCCTTTTTGTTCAAAAGATGTTTAATGGTTTCTTTAATTTAGAGTAGGCTGTTTTAGCCTTTGAAACTTGATTACATTTTGGAAAGAAGACTATGAAAGTCGGGGACCCAACCTGAGGTTGTCACTATGGCTAGCCATCTATGCCACCTTTGGTGCACAAGGCCAAATTAGTCATCCATTCATTCATTTATTCATGCAACAAACATTTATGAAACACCCACAGTTGTCAGGTATTTCAGGGCTAGAGGATGGAAATATTAATTCCTTAACACCTTGAGGGAAAACAGAAAAGTAACAGATAACAGACTGAGGTACTGAAGGTCTCAGTGGAGGGACCTCGTAGGGTTCACCCATTTTCCATTTAGTTTGTATATCTGCTAAAAATGGTGCTACACAAATAGAGAATGGGATACAAATTAGGGACCAGCATAAACACCTCATCTGTAATTTCCTTTATGGACAGCGGTGATAGAGAAGAAATGCCAGTGGGCATAATTAATTAAGAGCTCTCACACCCACAGCACTTTGCACAAGATCTGTGGACATGCTCAGTAGATCCATCAAGCCTGTTGTATGCAATATCTTTCACACTTAGTCCTCCCAGTGACTATTTATATACTGACCTGGAGAAAAGTAACCACTCCCTGCTTAGTGCTCTGCATATGTTACTCAGACTTCTATTATTTGGGTTTTTTAAAAATTTTTAAATCATGTTTATTCTATTACAGTAGTCTCAATTTTCCCCATTTGCTCTTCCCACCCATCCCATCCCCACCCTCCCACAGTCAATTCCCACTCTGTTGTCCACATCCATGGGTCATTCATACATGTTCTTTGTTTAGTCCCCTCCTCTTCTTTCCACCATTGTCCTCCTTCCCCTTCCCCTCTGGTCACTTTGAATCAGCTCCATGTTTCCAAGCCTCTGGTTTATTTTGTTCATTAGTTTATTCTGTTGAATAGATTCCACTTATATGTTAGATCATACGATATTAGTCTTTCGCCGACTGGCTTATTTCACTTAGCATAATAGTGTGCAGTTCCATCCATGTTGTCACAAAAGGTAGGAGTTCCTTCTTTATTTATTTTTTTAATGCAGATTTTATTTATTTATTTATTTTTAAATGTCAAGATCCATTAAAAATATTTTAAAAATTAAATCCATTATAAAGTCTCAGCAATTAAACATGACACGAGCACAGAAATAATCAAGTAGATTAATGAAATAAAATGAACATTGTAGAAACAAATGTATGTATCTGTCTAACAATGTAATATATGAATAAATTGACATTTCAAATCCATGAGAAAAATAAGGCTTATTCAATACATAAGGTGCATGCACCACTATTACTTGAAATTAAACAAATACAGAGCCCTATGTCATACATTATACAGAAAATATTCAGATGAGTTAAAAATCAATATGTAAAATCTAAGGAGTTTTAGGAGATAATACAAAATAATATTTTTTCTACCCTGAAGTAAAATATTCAAACCCAGAAGCTATAAGGTAAGATATTGAAAATATGACCATATTAAACATTTAAGACTATGTAGTAATATACGTATTAAAAAAAGCTAAAGGAAAAGTAATAGAATAAGAAAGTATTTGCAACACATCTAACAAGAGTTAATAGTAGTTTTTGGTTTTTTAGGGAAAAAGTTCCACAAACATTTAATCAAAAAATGGATAAAGACTACCAAAAAGTCATTTGAAGCTTTTTAAAAATAAAAGAAATAAGCAAGAAGAATACAAAAACAAGTTTAGTTTCAACAAATAAGAAAGTAACAATTAAAATAACAAATGATTGTCACAATCAGATTAAGTAGTATTAAAAATATTGGTAATATCAAGTATTGGTGACTGTGAAAGGAAGTGGGTACTCATAGCCACTTTCTTCATCTTCTTAAAATGGTCCCTTTAGCATATTTTGCAATGCTTGTTTGATGGAGGTGTATTCTTTTAGCCTTGTCTGGTAAACTCCTTATTTTGCTTTCCATTTTTATTGAGAGCCTTACTGGGTAGAGCATTCTTTGTTGTAGGCCTTTGCTTTTCATTACTTGGAATATTTCTTGCCATTCCCTTCTGGCTTGCAGGATTTCTGCTGAGAAGCCAGCTGCTAGCCATATCAGGGCTCCCTTATATGTTACTACCTGTTTCTCCCTTGCTGCCTTTAGGATTCTTTCTTTGTCTTTGATATTTGCCATTTTAATAATGATGTGGCTTAGAGTGTGCCTCATTGGAATTCTCTTGAATGGGACCCTCTGTGCTTCCTGGACTTGTGTGACTTTTTCTCTCCTCCAATTAGGGAAATTTTCCATCATTACTTTTTCAAACAGGTTCTCTTTCCCTTCCTCATCCTCTTCTTTTTCTGGTATCGCTATTATACAGATATTATTATGTTTCAGGTTGTCCTGAATTTCCCTTAATGCCTCTTCTTTCCTTTTGAGTCTCTTTTCATTTTCTTGCTCTTTCTACGAACTTTTTTCTGCCTTGTTTTCCAGCTCGCTGATTCAATCCTCTGCTTCATGTAGCCTGCTTTTGATTCCTTGTACTCTGTTCTTCAATTCAGAAATTGTATTCTTTATTTCCTCTTGTCTCTTATTGCTTTCTATGTCATTTTTCTTGCTGATATAGTTTGCAGTATGTTCCTCGTAGTTTCCTTGTAATTTTTGGTAGTTCTCTGTGATCTCACTGAGCTCATTGAGCTTCCTTAGAACTGTTGTTTTTAACTCAATTGTGATAGTTTACTTTCCTCTATTTCATTTAGTTCTCTTTCTTGGGATTCCGCCTTTCATTTCGGTTGAGGGGAGTTTCTTTGCCTTCCCAATATTTGTGAGGCTCTTCTTTTTTGATTCTGCTTCTTAAAGTTATCTGTCTTGATTTCCTGTCTTTGTGGTGTGACCTTCTATGGTTTTATTTTCTGGATCTGCCTCTGATGATGTCAGAGTTGACCCCATCTTACCTAGTCAGTCTGTTCTAGTCTTCCAGGAATCTACTCTCTGTGGCTGTCTCCTCCAGCTGTTAACCTAGTCACTCTGCACTCAGTTGGCCTGCTTAGAGACAGCACAGGACAGGGCAGAGTCCCTTCAGGGGGCGGGGTTATTGGGTTCTCTCACACTTTGCTGCTGCTCAGCAGTGTGGTCTGCCTGAGCCAGATGGCTGCTGCCCTGTGGGGGAGGAGTCAGCACTGGGATCCCACCAGCTACTCTCCGTTTTCTTCCCCAAGTGTTTATCTCCAGTCTCTCCCCAAGAGTCTATAGACCACTCTGTGCCCCCTTTAGCCAGGGATCTACTATCTGTGGCTGCCACTCTGTACTCAGCTGGGCAGAGTCCCTTCTGGGGGCATGGTTATTGTGTTCTCTCACTCTGTTGCAACTCACAGCTGAGTGGTCTGTGTGAGCAAGATGGCTGCTGCCACATGAGAAATGAGTCAGCACTGGGATCCAACCAGCTACTCCCTCAGTTCTCTCCCCAAAGCCTCCTTCCCCAAACTCTCCTCTGGTGTCTCTAGCCCACTCTGCTCCTGCCTTTTCTGAAGCCCAGGATAAGTGGCTGCAAATAAAAAATTATTCATTCACCCTTTAAATGGCTCTTTGCATCTCCAGCTGTGTGCCCCTGTCAAAGAGCAACCCTGCCACTTTTCGCAGCTGACTGTTTTCTGTGTACTTTTTTCGACTTTGGTGCTATAGGCTGGAGATCCCCATTTAGGGTTTAGACTCCACTCTTCTCATGGGGATCAACTGGCCATTTCAATATCCTTCTGGTGCTGCCACCCTTGGGCTCCCGGCCTGCCTTCTTGAGTCTATCATACCCCTTACCAGTTAGGTTGTGCTCAAGCTGATTCTTCTGTCTGTCCAAGGTTATAAAGCTCCTCTCTCGTTATTGTTCAGTTGTTTGTTCCAGGTGATTTCTCCACAATTTAGTTGTAATTCCAGGGTGGTCCTGGGAGGAGGTCAGTGAGACTTCCATTCAATCCTTCACCATCTTGATTGTTCCCCATTATTTAATTGTTAAATAACAGTTAGGCTAATCATTATGTAGTAGAAACAAATAGACCAGGGTCATATTGCATCTCTGAAATTTACTAACAGTATTACTTGAAGAAATAAATGTACCTTCCATTGAATACCATCTTTTTCAGCCATAAAGTGGGAATAATAGGACCCACCTCACAAACCTATTGTGATGGTTAGAGAAGACAATGTGTACACTCGTGCCACAGTCTGGCATCTGGAAGATGCACATTCAATTGCTGGGTGATCAGATAGATGAATGTCCACACACTTGCTTCTCCCTCTTGTCTCCTATTTGTACATGTAGCTCTCTTCCCTATTGAATGATAGTTTCCTGATAGTAGGGACAGTATGCAGTTCTCTCTCTTTTCAGAGATTATACTCAAGAAATGTTGGAGGGAGTCAATGAATGGCAACTTTGGTCCAAGGATTTCCTTTCCTTGAATAATCACTTAATCCACACCAAAATTGTTTCAGATGATATTATTATTTTTGAAACACATCTCTGTTCAATGTGAAATAATGGAGTTTTTATGATTGTTTATCAGAAGAAGTAAATAATAAATATATATAATACCTGGATACAATAATACCTGGGTACAGCTTCTTCAAAAACTATCTGTTGGAAAAAGATTTAGGTTCAATTAGTATATCTTCCCCAAAGTAAGCCTACCTTGAAGAAATATTGCCTGCCTACTGGCAAGGCTTAAGAGAGAAAGATTTAAATAGGATAACGTTCTTTAAAAAGTGCTAGTTGTAAACAGTAAGTTAATTCTCATAAAACTAATGATGCCAAATTTATTTAGGGCTCCAAAGAAGAGGGATTTATAATCATTAGATGGCATTTTCATTCAATCTAACATGTTGTAGTTTCATTTACATTCATTCAGTCATAGGATCATACACAACCCTGAAAGGAAAGGCGCAATATGCTAAAGACATTCTTCCAGGAAATGAATCAGCCTGTTCCATTTAACTTTGAAGGTACTGACAGATTTTAATTAAGCTTGGTACATGATTCAATGTAAACTTCTATGTATGTCTAGCTGCAGTTCCATAAGCCATTTTGTTTCATAGTAAAAATCATTAAATAAACATGTCATATATTTTTCAATATATTTCTGTACAATTTAGTATGTGTACATGAGTTGAAGTTATAGCCAAAAAAGGGGGGGAAGGAAATGAAGAGTTGGCTTTAAATTCACTTGGAAGTATTTCAAAACCTATAAACTTGGACAGCCTGGATGACTATTAGAAGATGCTACTTTCATGTGTACAAGTTATCATACTTTGTCAACTAATTAATAGTACATAGACAAGTCCTTTATCCTATAATCAAAATATAAGAATGTAAATTCAACATTAGTATTAATTCTTTTAAACCTAAATGTTAACAATGCTATTTTATTCACCTATCACTTCCCACACATTTATTAAAGGGCACCTACTATGTGTTAAAAATTGTGTTAGGAACTGAAGAAACAGAGAGAAAAGGTACAGTCCCTATCCTCTTAAGTAGTTCAGGGTGTGAAGGACAGACAGAAAAGAAAAATGGTAGGTCTTGTGATGTGAGTCATATCAGAGGTGAGCCCTGGGGGCTACAAAGGTCAGAGGAAATCACATGAGGAGGCCATCTGGTCCAAATCCTTCAAAATCCTGATGGATGAATTTAATTTATCCATACACCTTCACCCCATAAAAGCAGGGGACAATGTATTTCAAGCTCTGGGGACAGCATGGGCAAAGGCATCAAGGTGAGAAGCTTGGTATTTGAGGAACTGTTACCAGTGTGGGTATGAGATGCTACCAGGGGTGAGTGAGAAACAGAGCATAGAGCCTGTATACCATGAAAAGGAGCTTGGGTTTTTTTCTTAAAGTCATGTGGAGGCATAGGATATGACATAAATGGGAACTGCTAAGTGATTTGAGTTAAAAAGGTATCTGGCTACAAGACTAAAGGCAAGGAAACAAGTGTTAGAAGAAGAGAGTGAGTGGTCTAGGTAGATGAGGATGCTAACAGATACTCAAAGGGAGGAGGAGGAGAAAGGGGAAGAAAGAGGAAGGAGCAGAAGGAAGAAGGTAGAGGAGGAGGAGGATGCAGAAAAAGGAGGAGGTAGAGGAAGAAGGGGAACATGGTCAGGCTTGAGGGGAATAGAGAATGATAATGCATTCGGGTTTGGTGCAGGTTAAATTTGAAATGAGCAGAACTGCTATATGAAGAAGTCAAGAGGCAGTTGATTGTACAAGTCAACAGCTCCATAAATTGGTATTAAATGGAGGTAGAGAGTTGGTAACATCAGCATATATGGTGATCTTTGAAACTGTGAGAGTGGATGAAATTTCCCAGGAAGCAAGTATAAAGAGAAAAAAGAAGAGAACTGAATCCTGGGGAATATTATCTTTTAAATGGCTAGCCCTAGAATTTAAGGACACCAAAAAGTTGTAACTGGATAAATGCAGTAAACCAAGAATTACATCACAGATTCTTTAGAAAAAGACAGTTTTAAGGGCATAATTACCCCCCTGAAGTGTCAAATGCTTCAAAAATTTTATTCATCTCTTCATTCCTTCAACAAATATTTATTGGGCTTCTATTATATTCTAACAACTAATTATATACAGTTGTTAAACAAAATCAATCCTATCCTAAGACAGATTACCATTTAGTAGAATAAACTGATTTTAAATAAATGGACCAAGAGATATATGTGTGATTTTAAAATATGGTGAGTGCCTTAAAATATACTAAGTGTATGAAGGTCTCCTTGGGTGTGATCACTGGGAGCTCACCTGGGCTTTCACATTCTAGTCTTGATGGATAAGAGGAGCAAGTAAAAGTCATATTACACCACATGGCCATGTTTTGAGGGTTAAATATGAGGAAGGATTTGGAGTAAAGCAATGAAGGCAACTCTCTTAAGAAGTCTGAGTGTGACAATAAGGCAAAAACAAAGAAAACAACCACCAAAGGAGGGTTATTTTTGTTTTAAGATATGAGAGGATAGAACATTTTTATAGTCTGAAGTTGGAAGGAACCAATAGAGAAAAATAAACATCAATACTTTTAAGGTAAAATAATAAAATTTTAATTCTTTAGAATTCCCTGTAACAGATATTTTTCTGTGCATAAATAGTGTGTATTAAGTGGCATGTTGATAGCAAGGCTTCTAGTGGTATCCAATTATTTTAAAGCAAACTGCTTTTTTTCTCATAGCCTTTTTTTTGTTTTTTTACTTTATTTTTATTGTTTAAACTATTACAGTTGTCCTCATTTACCTCAATTTACCCACCTCCACCTCTTCTCCCCTCTGACAGCTGTCAGTGTGTTCCATGTATCCATGCCTCTGGTTCTCTTTTCTTCATCAGTTTATTTTGTTCATCATATTCCAAATGTCAGTGAGATCATATGGTATTTGTCTTTCTCTGTCTGATTTATTTCACTTAGCATAATATGCTATCAGTATTTTTAAAGTGAGAAAATAATTGATGAAATTGGGTAAAATGAATATAAAATATAAATATAATGTATTTCATGTTAATTCATGTGAGCTAAAAGGCACTACAGAAATTCTACAAAATTTCAGGTAGGTGACTTACAATTTGAAAATTATTCAAACAATCCATTTCCATTTTAATTTTAAGTCCCATCTATAAATTTCTACCAAAAAAAAAATCTGCTTTCTTTCAGAATCGTAGCCTTTGTAGCAAAGTTTGTACAGATGAAGCTTTATCAGACAAAGGCAAGCCTGAGGTTTTGTTTCTCAGTAGTTACACCATATACGTCCTTTTATGTGCAAATGGGTAACTAAACATATGGGTCTTTATTAGGCAGAATAAAATGTTTGTGCCCACATTGAAATTTTTATTTAAATGTCAGTAAAGGAGTATGGGTTATATTTTGTCTTGTCCAGACAGAATGCTAACCTTTAATTTATGTACCATGATGATGTAAAAGTCTATAAAATTGTTTCTATTTCTGTTTCTTTATTTTCCATACAAGAAAAAAATTAATAATAGAAAAGAAACAGTTATTTAGATGACATGGCATCTTCCTTTCCTCAAATAGCAGTATAGTCCTATGTTTTTCACCTGCAATTATTTACAACAAAGTACTTTGCTATCTTTTGTTTTTTCCTCCTAACTCTGAGCAATTGGCAGAGATTTAGAGGTTATTCAAAGACACCCAATCTGCAACCTCCCATTTCAAGGACAATACTTTAGTGGCCTCAAGTTTTCTTTAAAAATAAAAATCTGGATTTAGTGGTGAAATTGTCCCAATTGGGGAATCTATGGTGATTAAAATTCCTTTTAGTTTGTTTTTATCCCCAACTAATTTTCTTTTTAAAAAATATCCACATACTCAGACATATTAATAAAATATCAGCACTTCTTTGATGACCTCTATCAAGAGGACAAATATTTTTTCTCAGTGCCACAAGCTTATCCCTAACTCCTAATCACTTTCTTGAATTTGACAAGGGGAAATTAACTCATATTTACTCATAATGTAAATTTTTGCATTTGTTTAATTGTGGTCACTCCTCTTTTTGAATTCCCTTAGTACTCCCTGCCTGCATTATGGCATTGTGTTATAGCTGCTTCACTGTTAGATTGTTAACTTTTTGTGGACAGGAGCAATATTTTCCTCCTGTTTCAACTAACATGCTTTGCAAAGTGTCTTGTACAGAGTGCAGTGTTTATTTTACTCAATTCAGTACTCACTCAATTCAGTTTTTTACATTGAACCTTTTACAATTCAATGAGAAATAAATCACTTCTATCAACACAAATCCCACTAAAGTGTTAATACCAAACAGGACTAAGGAGAATCTACATAGGGAAGTCAGGTGGGCAGTTGAGCAGTTGGACAGACCACAAGTAAAAGGTCATTATTTGGACACACTACTTTTAATACAGTTATTTTACAGGTTAAAAAAAGGCGACTATGATTTGAACCAAAAAACACAAGTCTTGGAACATCACAAGACACATCAACAGCTCAACACTCACCTTTCTTACTTGCGAGACATTATTTTAGTCACTCTTCTGAACGCCTTTCAATTTGTTATGAGGCTTAATATCTGTAGGTAAAACCAATGGAGTTTGTTGATATGATGCAATTTACAAACTAATACTTTCAGTAAGTCATTTGTTTCTAATAGCCAATCTGGTTAATTAACCAAAAGTTCCATTGTTTCTCAGAGATTCTGGTACATAATTAACTCTCCATTTCATATGTATGGCCTTACAGAAAGCTTTCACAGTCCTTAATTGTCTTAAATAAATTGAATGTTTTTTAACATACCCTATTTTTCAATAACATGTAAAAATAGTGACAATGAATAATATCCTACCTAAAAGAATTTGTATTGTTATTATTGCAATGAAGAAAGTATGCATCTATGGTCTTATCATTTCTTAATTAACAGGGTAATAGAAGGCTAGAATAATTTAAATACATAACAAATTTTAATATATATATATATATATTTAGCTGTAATAGCACTTTTAATAACTTTGCCCATCAGAATGCTGATTAATTGTTAATGGGATTGGTTTTTTCCTAGACTCTCTCAGCCTGCACAATCTCTGATACATATTTTCTCGGCAGTTTATTGTTATATGTTCCAAAAATAGACAACAGTTGAAAGAATGGAGACATCTAGATGAACCAACAATATAATCAGCCATGAACACTAGAGCACTGGCTGAAACATAAAAATATATGACTGCAGTGAATATGCAGTGGTATCAAATAAAATCAAGAACAGACTTGATTTTTAGTCCTACAACCCCATATTTAAAACACTGTTAAAATGCATTCTAACATTAGCAATCATGCCACCTCTGAATTATAGGAAACATTGAGACAAAAGTCCCAGAGATCCCAGTGGACACAGTGCCCAGGGAGAGATCAGAGGCATGAAGGTGGAAAAGAAACCCACTGGAGTGGGCTGCAGAATAGTTCTTGTTTTCATATGCTAATATGACATCCAGTGGCATCATGCATGTTTAACTGAAGGCAGTTTTGTGTTAAACAATGAAGAATTCATGGAGGTGACTGGTCAGTTTTTACATACATTGGTATAAATCAAGCCATATCTGAAAAGGACATAAACACAACATAAGTGTGAACATGTTCTTCCAACAGTTGGATGTCACATCAGTAATGCCATTTGATGTTTTCTACCTCTTCTTTGAGTTTAATCCAATATTTAGGACAAACAAGATATTAAGGGTAATATAACTATTTTGTTACTCTTCCTTGTAATTACCTTGTTATGAAAATGAAAATCTTGAAGTGATTTAAAATATCCTAAAAGTATAATATTCATCATTTTCCCAAACTATCTTCCATTTTTCTGCCCTCATCAATGCTATGAATTTTAAAAACTCAATGAAAGAAAAACAGCATTTCTTCTACTGATGGAAATTGCTCTTGGTTGTTTTTATTTTGTGTCTCAAAACAGGTGTTTTCATAATCTAAGATAGAAATGCTTTCGTGCTTCTAAATACAAATACAGTTACAAATAAATCTTATAATTTTATTTGTTTCCATTTGCCCTTTTTCATGAGGCCATCATAGAATACCTGGAATACTGATTGTAAAAGGAGAGAGTTCAATAAGACAACCTCTAAGTTATGTTACTCATCTAAAATTCTGTAATCCAAGGAAAAATGCAAACATAATTTGCATAACAAATTTATTTACATACGTGAATACAACTCAAATGTGCATAAACAAGAAACTAGTAAAATTGTGGCATATCTATATAATTGAATACACTTTGTAATGCAAGAAAGAATACATGAAGAGAGGAAATCTTCTATAAATTAATATGAAAAGACTGTCAAGGTAAATTGCTGAGGTAAAAAAAAAAGCAAGTTACAGAACAGTTTATAGAACAATATTAACTTTTGTGTGACAGAAGGGGAAAAATATTCCATTTTCACTTTTACATAAACAGTGGAAGACTACAAAAAAAATCTAGTGAAAATGATTAACAGAAGTGGAGATGGGAGGAGGGAGAATCAGGATGGACAGAGGTAGGACTTGAAGAAATATACATGTTACTGTTTTTGAACTATGTGTGTCTTTATTTAATCTTTATTGTAATTTGTTCCATTACCACCTAGTCCCCATATATGCCCTCCCCTCAGCAATCATCATACTATTGTCCATGCCCATGAGTCCTTTTTCCTTTTTGCTCAATCCCTCCACCCTAAGCTCTCCCCAACATGTGTCATGTGCTCTCCATCTGTGAGTCTGTTTGGTTTTGCTTGTTAGTGAAGTTTGTTCATTAGATTCCACATATCAGTGAAATAATATGGCATTCGACTTTCTCTGACTGGCTTATTTCACATAGCACAATGTTCTACAGATCTATCCATATTATTGCGAAGGGTAAAATTTTCTTCTTATTTTTACAGCCAAGTAGTATTCCATTGTATAAATGTCCCATAGTTGTTTTATCAACCCATCTATTGATGGACACCTGGGTTGCTACCATATCTTGGCAACTGAAAATAACACTGTAATGAACATAGGGGTGGTGCTTATGACTTTTTCAAGTAGTGTTTTGGGTTCCTTCGGATATATTCCCAGAAGTGGAATTGACTGTCAGTAGGAAGATCCATTTTTAATTTTTGAGGTACCTCCACAGTGCTTTCCACGGTGGCTATACAAGTCTGCCTTCCCACCAACGTTGCAACAGGGTTCCCCTTTCTCCACATCCTTGCCAGCACTTATTGTTTGTTGATTTATTGATTATAGCCATTCTGACAGGTGTGAGATGGTACCTCATTGTGGTTTTAATTTGCATTTCTCTGATAATTAGTGATATTGAGCATCTTTAAATATGTCTATTGGCCATCTGTGTGTCCTCTTTAGCAGAGCGCCTATGCAGATTCTTTGCCAATTTTTGAATTGGGTTGTTGGATATTTGTGAGGGTTTTCTGGTGTTGAGTTTTTTAAGTTCAATATAAATTTTGAATATTAACCCCTTATCAGATATATTGGTGAAGATGTTCTCCCATTCTGTAGGTTGTCATTTTATTTTGTTGATGATTTCCTTTGTTGTGCAAAATGTTTTTAGCTTGATGAAGTCCCATTTGTTTATTTGTTCTTCTGTTTCACTTGCCTGGGGAAATGTAGCTGATAAAAAAATCGTTACAAACAATGTCTGAGATTTTGCAGCTTATGTTTTCCTCTAGGATTGTTACGGTTTCGGGTCTAACATTTAAGTCTTTGATCCACTTTGAATTTATTTTTCTGTTTGGTATAAGAAAGTGGTCTAGTTTCATTTTCTGCATGTATCTGTCCAATTTTCACAACACCATTTATTGAATAAACTATCTTTAGCCCATTGTATGTGCTTGCTTCCTCTGTCGAGTAGTAACTGACTGTAAAGCTATGGGGTTGTTTCTGGCCTCACTATTCTGTAACATTGATCAATGTGTTTGTTTTTATGCCAATACAATGCTGTTTCAATTACTATGGTCTTACAGTATAGTTTGACATTAGATAGTATAACTCCTTCATTTTGTTCTTTCTCAGTATTTCTGTTGCTATGCAGGGCCTTTTGTGGTTCCATATAGATTTTTGAAATATTTGTTCTACTTTTGTGAAATATGTCATTGGAATCTTGATAAGAATTGCTTTGAAGCTATAGATTGCTTTGGGTAGTATGAATATTTTAATGATGTTAATTCTTCCTATCCATGGTATGTGATTCTACTTATTTGTATCTTTTTCAATTTTTTTTTTTTGGTGTCACATAATATTCCATGTCTAGGTCTTTTACATCCTTTGTTAAGGTTTATTCCTAGATATTTTATTCTTTTTGAAGCAATTATGAATGGGATTGTTTCTTAATTTCCTTTTCTGTTAGTTTGTTATTAACATATAAAATGTAACTGATCTCTGTACATTTATTTTGTATCCTACTACTTTGCTGAATTCATGTATCAGTTCTAGTAGTTTCTAGTGGAATCTTTGAGGTTTTCTATGCACAGTATCATGTCATCTGAAAATACAGACAGTTTTACTTCTGTATTTGGAAGTAAAGACATCCAGTTTGGATATCTTTTATTTCTTCTGCTTGTCTGATTGCTGTGGCTAGGACTTTCAGTACTATGTTGAATAAGAAAGGTTAAAGCAGACTTCCTTGCCTTGTGCTCAATCTGAGGGGGGATGCTAGTAGTTTTTTCCTGTTGAGTGTGATGCTGGCAGTAGGTTTTTCACATATTGCATTTATTATGTTTAAGTATGTGCCCTCTATTCCCACTTTGCTGAGAGCTGTTATCATAAATGGATGCTGGATTTTTATCAAATGTTTTCTCTGCACCTATTGATATGATCATGTGGTTTTTATCCTTCATTTTGTTTATGTGGAGAATCACATTTATTGATTTGAAAATGTTGTAACAACCTTGTGTTCCCAGAATAAATCCCATTTGATGATGGTGTATGATTTATTTAATGCATTGCTCTGTTTGTCAATATTTTATGATGATTTTAGCATCTATGTTCATCAGGAATATTGGCTTATAATTGTCTTTCTTTGTAATATCTTTATCTGGTTTCAGCATTAGAATAATGCTGGCCTTGTAAAATGAGTTTGGGAAGGTTGCCTTCTCTTGAATTTAATAAAATAGTTTGAGAAGGAGAGGTATTAGTTCTCAGAATGTTTGGAAAAACCCACCTGTTAAGCCATCGGGTCCAGAACTTTTGTTTGTTGGAAGTTTTTTGATCACTGTTTCAATTTCACTAGGTGTAATCTGTCTATTCAGATCCTCTGATTCTTCTTGATTTAGTTTTGGAAAATTGTGTTTCTAGGAATTTATCCATTTTGCCCAGGTTGTCCAGTTTTTTGGGATATAGTTGTTCATAATATTTTCTTATAATCCTTTGTATTTCTTTGGTATCAGCTGTGATTTCTCCTCTTTCATTTCTAATTTTATTTATTTGGGTCCTGTCTCTTTTTTCCTTGAGGAGTGTGGTTAAAGGCTTTTCAATCCTGTTTATCTTTTTTAAAAAAACAGCTCTTGAATTCATTGATCTTTTGCATCATTTTTTGGACTCTATTTCATTCATTTCTGCTCTGATCTTTTTTTTATTTCCTTCCTTCTACTCATTTTGAACTTTGGTTTTTCTTTTGTTTTGTTTTGTTTTGGGTTTTTTCTTTTTTGTCTTTTTCCAAGTTGCTTTAAGTGTAAACTTAGATAGTTTATTTGAGCTTTTTTTTCTTTTTTAAGACAGGACTGCAATGCTATGAATTTTCCCTTTAGAATTGTTTTCCCAGAAGTCCACATATTTTGGATTGTGTTCTCATTTTCATTTGTTTCAAGGTATCTTTTGATTTCTTCCTTGATCTTATTGTTGACCCATTCATTGTTTAATAACATGTTATTTAACTTCCATATCTTTGCATGTTTGCAGTGTTCTTCTTGTGATTGATTTTTAGTTTCATTTCATTGTGGTGGGAGAAGATTCTTGATATGGTTTAAATATTCTCAAATTTATTGAAACTTTTTTTATGTTCTAACAAGTGTTCTATCCTAGAAAATGTTCCATGTGCACTTGAAAAGTATGTATATTCTGTTGCTTTGTAGTGAAATGCTCTGAAGATATCAATTAAATCCATTTGATTTAGTGTATCATTTAAGGCCACTGTGTCTTTGTTGATTTTCTGCCTGGTAGTCTTAAATATTTTGGTGCTCCTATATTTGATACATAAATGTTTAAGTCATAAATATTTTATAACTCATAGATTCATCAGTAACTAAGTCAAATCTGAGGAAAATAAGGATGTGAGATTTCATAACAATAGCAATAAAAGCTTGTATTTCTAAAGACAGTCTTCTTAAAAGAAACTCCACAAGTGTTATAAATTTCAGTGGTCTTCTTGCACATCTTGGGAAGACAGATGTCAGATCCTGACACAGCAGCACAGCAACCACAGCAGTGGTTTCGCTTGTGGAATAGATACTGAGAGCTACACATTGTTCAACTTTATATTCACTACTTCATTGATTCTTCTGAATGAGTTCACTTTAATGATGAGGATGAACAGGGTGAAAAAATCTTTCCAGATATGCTGTTGGTAAGCAACAGGATCTGATTCCATCATATAGTTTCTGACTCCAGAGTCTTCCCTGCAAACAGACTGGCTCAGAGGGCTTTTCTTCCATGCCCATGACTCTTCCAGTTGGGAGGGAAAATATTCTCATATGTTGAGACAACTTTAGAGACTTCTGGTTTGACTGGGAAATGTGGGTTTAGATTGGGGCAGATGTAACACTTTAAGCACCTTCTGGTCAGGCCATCATGTTTCTTTTCTCAAGTGAAAGTATCAGGAAGCTCCTGCTCAGAGATGACCAACTTTTAGATAGATTCAGGTTTTTATGGATTTGGGCATTTGTCTGTCATTGTAATAAAAGCTTATAAATGCCAACCCTACATACCCTATCTTACTTTTAATGTCCTTAAGGGATCCAAAATCCACCTATTATCCAGAAGTTTTTAAAAAAAATAGAGCATCCTGAAAGTCAGCATTTGTCTTCCTTCCATAGCCTCATAGTCTAGTCATTTCACATATTAAGTGAGTCATTTTAATGCACACTTCTCTAGGAAGAATATCATTTATGTGCCTCCAGTTGAGAAAAAATTAAGAATATAAATTTTATCTTCAGTGATTACATAAGCTAAATTTTAAACCATGCCTTTGTGCAAATTTCCATTCAGAGCATACTAAATAAGTTACCACAAATTGGAATGATCTTAGTCTGAATGAAAGATTTTTCCTACTTAAATATTCTTGAAAAACAAACCATTTGTATACATATCTAGTTCAAGTCATTACTATTATATCTGTTTTTTTCCAAATGTTCTACTATAGTCATTTATACATTAGATACAATTTTGAATTAAATATTCTTTGAACTAAATAAACTCTAATAGTTCCCCCCTAACTATAAGATCCTGTGATTCTCAACGCATTAAATAATTAAATACATTAACTACTATATGCATGCAACCCCTTTAAGAGTCATGTTCTTTTACTCTCCCTATTTTTGCAGATGAGGAAACTGAAGCAAAGAAATGTTGTGACTTTTCCAAGGTTTCACAGTTAGTAAATATCACAGGCCAGGTCTTACTCTTGCATTCTTTCACCTCAGGTAATGATGGGGAAGATTGGGGAAGTGTGCCTGTAGGGAGTGTGAGTTGAGGCAGAAGTAGATGTAAGCAGGAAAGAACCATGAGGGAAATAGCATCTCTATTTGGATTAGATATGTATAAACCTACTGTTTCTGAATAAGATCATGTATTATTAACCAATGCTAACATTGACTGGACTTTTAAATTTTGTTGAAATAAACATACTTAATGCAACTTGCTTAGAAGTAATGCTAGTATTGAACCTCAGGATCCAACACCTTTTTATGAATTCAATGTATTATACTTTTCCTCTTATATTTTGGGGTAGTGTGATATTAATTATTATAAAATAGAGTTCTGTATTCTTTAAAAAGAAAAAGGAAACAAAAGTGCTTTTAGGCTTGATTTTCATAAAGCATCATGAACCTGACTAACTAGAGGGTAGAAATAAAATAAAACAAAAAGTTCTAGAAGTTTGGCACTATGCTGAAAAGTACTACTTAGAGGAAAACACCATTAAACAGACTCTAGTTTTTTTTAAGGTGTATGAATGGAGTTATTTTCAATAACAAATAAAATCATTTTTCATATAGTTTTACTTAAATAGAAGCCTTTAAGACTAACACACTTTGGGATTTCTTTTGCTTGTTTTCTACATAATACACATCATTCTTTGAGTTTAATCATTGCCTGGAATCAATAATGAACAAGGCATATATCTACAGGTAGAGCTCAGTGTGCATCAGAGCTAGGAGAGAAAGCAAGGGTACATTTCAGACAGAAAAGTATGACCTCCCTGGAAAAGAGAAGAGATCATCTTAGACCTTTGGCTATATAAAATATAAGGTTAAAAATATAAAATAAAATATAAAGTTATATTCTAAAGCAAATTTGAATATATTTTGAACTGAGAAAAAAATATAAAAGTCATATTAGATTTTGGAGACTACAGAACTAAAATATAAGCTGAATTAGCTGCTTTTATCAGAACAAATATAAATAAACATGTTCTGTCAGAAGCTGACTTAATGTCTCTCTCATTACAATTCATTCCTAGTTGAATTTCATTCATTTGCTGTTCTGAACTTCACTTGCATGAAGACCTCCATGAGCTTTCCCCAGGTATCCTGTTAAGTCAGCATGGCATATTTTATGGGAGTCAAAGGGGAGAAGTCACCTTGGATGTGTGCTTTCCAGGGAGTTGATTCATACCATATGTGGTGAGAGGACTTGTTTTTTCACACTCTGTCAATCCCAGTCAAGCCACTGCATTCAGAAAACATCCAAGGACACCATCCTTTTACATTGTACTAATGAGAGTTAACAGCTACAATTTTCAAACAAGGAGGTACAGTGGAGACTTTCAGAAGAAGGAAATAAATAGATGGTGTTCCAGAAATAATATGAGTCCTTGCTTTACACTTACTCTTCTCAACAGAATCATTTGAGCAACAGGATGCTTGCTGTTTGCTCTGCATGTGAATGCCTGCATTTATTACTGGGCATCAGACTATGAAGGAATTGAAACTACAAAATGGGTGTATAATGGTTAAGGAAACAAGAAAATTTCAACTTTGAAGGAAATTTTTATTGAGCCTTCTGAACATTATGTTTCAGTGTAAGAGTTTTCTTAATCCAGTGTTTTCAAAACTGTACATCACAACCCATCAATAGGAAATTAAAACTCTTTAATAGGGTGCTTTCAAGTAGAGGAGAACAGAATAGGAAATATCAGAGTATGCTATATCTTGTAGGGGTTTGTGCATATGTGTACACATGTGTACACATACTGGGCTGACTTAGGAAATACATTTCTTATTCTGTATCATAATCAATAGAGCCTGAAAGCTTCTGCTTTAGACAACTGAGGGGTAAGATAACTTTTAATAACTCCAATGTTGATTTTTAGTAATGAACTATGTTAATTATTTGGATGGTACTTGCAGGGCTAATTAGTTTACCACTGAAGGGTTTTATGGTTTATGAGTCAGCTATAACCACTAACTCAACTAAACATTTAGAGAGTAAAAATGCTCATAAATTAAACTTGACATTTAGACATGCAAGTATCCTAAGAATAAAAGAGATCATTTAAAAAAATTAGTGCAGCAGAATCAGGACTCAATAATGTTTGGTTATTTCATAGTGAGATTTTCCTCTGGTAGGTGCGGGGCCCAGGAATAAAGTAGACTCTACTCACTTTCTGCTCCAGTAAAATGACATTGATATTATGAGGCAGTGTCCTTACTGGAAAAGAACAGGCCCCAGCATGACTTTGAAGGGTAACTCACAACAGCCTTCAGAAGGAAAGCAATTATAGCATACAACAAAGTCAGTGATGATACCTCACAAAATTACATGCTACCTGCAGTAAGGGTTTATAGCAACATTTTTGAATTTTTAACCTGAACTGATTTTAAAATTTTAAAGTTGGACCTTGGCGAGGTAGCTCAGTTAGTTGGGACATTGCCTCATACATCAAAATGTTGCAGATTCCACTCCCAATCAGGGCACATACCTAAGTTGTAGGTTTGATCCCCAGTTGGGGCACATATGAGAGGCAACCAATCAATGGTTCTCACATCAATATTTTTCTCTCTGTCTCTCTCCTCCTTCGTCTCTCTCTAAAATTGATAAACATATCCTCTTTGAGGATTAAAAAAGCAATTTATAGTCCAAAGACCCACTGATTAGGAAAAACACACACACACACAAATATACAGAATATCCTTTGAAAGTTTTAAACCAAATCCATAAGTAATTCCCTTTAGAATGTGGAATAAGTTAAGTAGGTATTTAATTATAATTAACAAATAATTTATATATAAAACTGACTAAGCTATCAACTATACTAAATATTGCATAAAAGTGATTTTGTAATTCAACATCATTGCATGCCTGATATTGTTGTTCTCATATAAGCAAACTAATACAGACTTGCATCAGAATGCCTTCCATTAAGCTGAAATGTATTAATATTTTAGACTTCTAATTTCAGCCATAGTACAAAGCAGAATTAAAATTCAACTAGATAAATAACTTCATTGTTTGTTGTTTGTGATTACTTGTTGTAAGATACACTTACAGAAAAATTACTATTACAAGTCTTCAATGGTTGCAAAATTGTAAAAAGAACCTCTAAAATATAAAAAACAAATATGTGTAATGAAGCTGGAATAGAGTGGTGAGACAGCCACTAGGGAGCAGAAATAAAGAGAATAATGTCTTAATCTGTAAAAGGGGGAAAAAGTAAGAACTCTAAAAAAGAAAATTGGTCTAAATGGACTAAATTTACCAACCAAAAGAAACCTGTCATGTTAGTCAAAATAAGCTTTAAGACAAATATAATTTAGGAGAATCAAGATGGTGGAGAATTGAGTGGAAGTCACACTGACCTCCTCCCAGGCCTAACTGGAATTACACTAAATTGGAGGGAAATCACCAGAAAAAAAATAACTGGACAATAGTGAGAGAGGAGCCTTATGACCTAAGAGACAGAAGAATCAGCTTAAGTACAACGTAACAGGCAAGGAGTGCAGTAGAGAATTGAGAAGGCGGGTGGAGCACCCATGGGTGGTAGCACCAGACAGATATTGAAACGACCAGTTGGATCCCCCTGAGAGGAGCAGGATCTAAACCATAAGCAGGGATCTCCAGCGTACAGCCCCAGAATCCAAAAAGTAAACAGATAACGGCCAGCTGTGAAAAGCGGCAGGTTTGCTCTCTGGCAGATACAGGCAGCTGGACACGCAAAGAGCTGTTTAAAGGGCCAACGCATAAATTTTTGTTTACAGCCACTTACCCTGGGCTCTGGCAAATGCGGGGGCAGAGTGGGCTAGAGATGCCTGAGGAAAACTGGGGAAGGAGGCTTTGGGGAGAAAGCTGACAGAGTAGCCGACAGGATCGCAGTGGTGACTCATCCCACAGATGGCAGCAGCCATCTGGCTCAGGCACACCACTCCCCAGAGCGGCAACAGCATGAGAGGACCCAATAGCCCTGACCCCAGGAGGACCTCAGCCCTGCTCTGTGGTGTCTCTAAGCCAGCCTGCTGAGTGCAGAGTGACTGCCAGAGATAACAGATCCTCGGATAAAGGGGGAACAGAGTGGTCTAGAGACACTTGAGGAGAGACAGGAGATGGAGGCTTTGGGGAGAGAATGGAAAGAGTAGCTGGCAGGATCCCAGTGCTGACTGTTCCCCTACACAGCAGCAGCCATCTGACTCAGGCAGACCACTCCCTGAGCCTAAGAGCATGAGAGAACCCAATAATCCCACACCCAGGAGAGACTCTGCCCCACCCTGTGGTTTATCTAAGCCAGCTTGCTGAGTGCAGAGTTACTAGATTAACAACTTAAGGAGACAGCCACAGACAGTTGATTCCTGGAAGTCTCAAAGACTGCCTAAGGTCAGACAGGGTCAACACCTGACATCATCAGAGGCAGATCCAGAAAGAAAGACCAAAAAAAGTGGTCTCCTACCATAGAAGTTCACACCACAAAGTCAATAAATCAAGACAGATCTACTTAAGAAGCAGAAGCAAAAGAGAAGAGCCTCACGAATAATGAGAAGACAAAAAACACTCCCCAGCAAAGGGAAAGGAGGAATCCCCACAAAGACAACTACATGAAATAGAGGCAAGTAAACTATCAGATATTGAGTTTGATACAATGGTTCTAATGAAGCTCGATGAGCTCAGTGAGCTTAGAGAGAATTACAAAAAATTACAGGGAAACTACGAGGAACTTACTGCAAACTAAACCATTATGAAAAACGACACAGAAACTATCAATAAGACACAAGAGGAAATGAAGAATACCATTTCTGAATTGAAGAACACAGTAGAAGGGATCAAAAGCAGGTTCGACAAAGCTGAGGAACAAATCAGCAAGCTGGTAGAAAAAAGCTCACTGAAAGAGCAAGACAATGAAAAAGACTCAAAAAGAATGAAGAGTCGCTGAAGGGAGTGCAGGAAAACCTGAGACATAATATTCATATACTAGCAATACCAGAAGGAGAAGAAGAAGAGAAAGGGATACAGAACCTGTTTGAGAAAGTAATGATGGAAAACTTCCCTCAGTTGAGGAGAAAAAAAGTCACACAAGTCCAGGAAGCACAGAGAGTCCCCTTCAAGAGGAATCCAGTGAGGCTCACTCCAAGACACATAATAATTAAAATGGCAAATGTCAAAGACAAACAGAGAATCCTAAAGGCAGCAAGGAAGAAACAGGTAGTAACATACAAGGGAGCTCCAATACAGCTAGCAGCCGACTTCTCAACAGAAACACTGCAAGCCAGAAGTGAATGGCTAGAAATACTCCAAAGAATGAAAAGCAAAGGCCTGCAACCAAAACTGCTCTACCCAGGAAGGCTCTCAATTAAAATGGAAGGAAAAATAAGGGGTTTCCCTGACAAAAGAAGGCTAAAAGAATACATCTCCACCAAACCAGCATTGCAAAATATGCTAAAGAGACTGCTTTAAGACAGAAGGAGGGAGTGGAGAGTGGGAAAAGGGAACTGAAGGGTCAAGTCAAGGAACATGTATAAAGGACCCATGGTCAAAGCCAAAGTGGGAAAGGATTTAATGAGGGAGGGCAGGAGGGAGGCAGGGTAAAGTGGTGGGAGGAAGGTGGGGACAAATGTATTTGAACAATTAAAATATAAAATTTAAAAAATATGAAGAAAAAGAGTCTATGAATCCCCAGTTCCTTTCACAATCATCAATACTTGATATTACCAATACTTTTATTTTTTTATATCTCTATTGTTCAAAAACATTTGTCTCCATTTTCCCACCACCACTTTCCCCACTCACCAATACTTTTAATACTATTAATCTGATTGTGACAATGATGTGTTATATTAATTGTTACTTTATTATTTGTTGAAACTAGACCTGTTTGTGTATATTTCTTGCCTATTTCTATTATTTTTAAAAAGCTTTAAATGACTTTTTTGTATTCTTTATACATTTTTATTAAGTATTTGTAGAATTTTTCCCTAAAAAGAACAAAAAAAGCCGATTAACCCTTTTTCAGATGTGTTACAAATACTTTCTTATTCTATTACTTGTCCTCTAACATTTTTATATGTATATTATTATATAGTCTTAAAAGTTTAATATAGTCATATTGTCAACATTTTACTTTATAGCTTCTGGGCTTGAATATGTTATTTCAGGATAAGAAATATATTATTTTGAATTTCCTCTGAAAAATCCTTAGATTTTACATATTGATTTTTAACTCACCTATTTCTTGTATAATTTGTGAAATAAAGCTCTATATTTGTTTTATTCCAAGTAATAGTGGTCCATGCACTTTATTTGTTGAATAAGCCTTATTTTCCCCTTATCAGAAATACCAATTTAACCATGTATTACACTGTTAGATGGATATATACATTTGTTTCTCAAATCCTCATTTTATTTCATTGATCTACTTGATTATTTCTGTGCTAGTGTCATGTTGTTTTAATTGCTGAGGCTTTATAATGGATTTAATTACTTTAATATTTTGTAATGTATCCTGACATTTAAAATATAAATAAAATCGATCTGCATTTA